AATAACAAATAAGAACAGGATGAGATATCCCTAAACATGGATTAGCAAAATGAATATAATCTACCCCTGTAGACAACTGAAGGAGGCCAGGTGGAAGAATGACTGAAATATAGTGATAATAACAATAAAGATGAGGATATTAATCCAGCTATAAATCATGTACAGTATATTCTTGTGTATAAACCACGGGATTTAAAAAAAAACAAAAAAACCCTTATTTTTTTCATATTGATTATGTTATAACAAGACCCCAGCTTTTAAGCAAAACTATTTAGCCTACCGTAATCAACTATTGTAGTACTGTGCATCATCCTGGACATATTTTATAGCGAATATATGGTCTTTATTCTTTTTTTGTACTGTAGGGGAGTTATAACTCTGAGTAAATAATTATAAACTTCCTAACATTTATATATACAAAAATACTTGTAAAAGTGAGAAAGAGTAAGATGTGGAAACATCAAAACATGTATTATTTATTATCTGGTTGTTGTTGTGTTGGACAAATGAGAGACAGTAATACTGAGTAAAATTGTGAGTTTAGGGTCAAATGTAGATCAAATATGGATCAGAATCTGACAGAAGGATAAGATAAGGAATAAGTAAAATGTATACTGTTTCTCATATATTTTTTTTATCGATGTATGTAATGAGTGTAAGTAAAATTTACTAAGAAGATACAAGTGTCTGGAGTTTTCTTACCTCAAATTTTTGTTGATTGCTAAGAGATAAATGTAAGGGTATTTATAATTATTTACTCAGAGTTATAAATTCCCTACAGTACAAAGCTACCCCAAAATGGTGAGGAAAATCATTTAACGTAAAATATTTTATACAAAGATTTAGATACCATACTTTTACTTTTGTTCATATCTGATAACGAAAAGGATGAATTTTAAACTCTCCAGAAAAAATTACCTGTGTATAGTGCAAACAGTCACTTCAAAATGCATGATTTTTAACCTCTTCAAAAAATTACTACTGTGTGATTTGACACCTTATGTTTTGCATAAAAAAAGAATGATCGCACTATACTCAAGCAGATAAAAAAAATAATCTTATTTTTTTTCCAAGGGCTTCTTCATTGTGCTGCAACCTTTTCAGCACCTCTTCACATATAAGAATGAATGTATCACCTATTGAATATTAAAACCAGAAATCTTTGTCAAAATGCAGTTGTTGTGGATGGTAGAAAGAGGAAAGGTAGAAATTTGGCCTGTATAAATATCAGAAGGATTTTCATCAAAATGTATTCCACCTTTCCGCCATACAGCATACATAAAAGACATTTTGAGGGTTAACAATAATTATTTCCGTCAGTTATGTGCCATGCGGGATACACACTTAGGCGAGCATGTATCTTTTGATACATGACTGACGAGGCAGATAATTTTTCCTACCAGTTGCCATCCAAAGCTATAGAACCCGGTCTGTCCTGCTATTTACCCATAGCTGGGGGAGGGGGGGAGAAGAAGAGGATTCATACCTTTACCAAGGTTATTAGCATGTAAGTGAATGTAATAGATTCAACTGAAATTCAAACTCGACTCTCCAATTCCTCAATCCGAGCCGCTATCCGATTTACAAAAACAAAATGCAACAACAAACTTAAATGAATTTATTCACAGTGGATGTGAATGTAGTGTTAAGTGATAGATATAGATGCATGAGGATTTGTTTTCAGTGAATCAAAGTTTTCAGGGTTCATACTGATGGTGTTAGAAATTCTGTTCAGATTTTATATTTTGTTGTTTTGAGCGTGATTAATTTGTGAGTTGTATAAAGTTGTTATTGTTTGACTTTATATTCCATGTCATATTTCTATAGTTCGGTAATTCATATATATATATATTCTTCAGTTGTCTACAAAGGATCTCTCAGTCTGATCATGAACATGGCAACAGAATCATGCATCTGTCTCTGTCTGCATGTGCCGCTCTCTCTCTCTCTCTTTCTCTCTGTTTTCCACTGTCTGGACCTGTTTCTTAAATAACCATAGACTGGATTTTGGATTTAAGCGGGAAGGTATTTCATTGGTCAGTATGGACCAATGAGGATGTTTAAAGATATTGGTGTCTGTTGCCATGCAGATGTTAATGTAGGTTTTTTGGGTATATAGGTAGGTAACAACATGGTTTATATCAGCTGACTGTTGTTACTACATGTGTCAGAAACACTAACTTTCCAGCTAATTGTGAAATGCTTTTAACAAAGGGATGTTATAATGATTACAGTAAAGGAAAGACTTGTTTACTCCATGTATGATGAACTGAATGTCCTATATTCTGTGAAATATATGGAAATAGAACTACAAAAAAAAAACACTTTGGGTCACTTCCAATAGATATTGTATGTTTTCAGCAGAAGAATATCCTGTAGCCTGCAAACTTGGACCAAAGCCCTAAGTTTAAGTGTTTGTTTTCTTCTCTAAATATTTCTTGTCAATTTAAAGGTGTTTGTTTATGTTAAGAAGTATTGAATACAATATTTCTCCTGAGATCTGGCTCCCATGTAAAGAATATGAATTAGATATGTGAAAAAGTTACCAACACACTCTTTTTGGAAATCTAGAGAGGAATTTAACCATCTGGGTAGTGTAGTAACAGATGATGGAGAATATGACACAGAAAGCTGAAGACACACATGAACAGGGAAAGATGTCTTTCAGAAACTAAGCAAAGTATTAAGGCAAAGGAAAATATTGTTAGAAACAAAGAGTGCTAAACTGTTATGTAATATCTAATTTCTTATATGTACGTTCATTGAAGTCAAACAATGTCGAGCCGGCTCAGTACTTAGATGGGTGACCAATGGGGAATACCAGGTACTGTAAGCTTGGGTGTGTGAGTGGATAATGTCGCAGAATGGTTAATTGGAGAGCTGAGTTCCAATTCCACTTGGGTTGATTATATACACTTATGTCCAAATATGCTTGGGAAAGGCATGAATCCACCTCTTCTCTCCCCAGCTATGAGTTAATTAGTAAAACTTGCATCACATAACCATTAATTTATATATCCCCCCCCCATTTTTTTTCTGGCTTTAAATAACATGCAGTGGGTTGATAAACTGTAGAATCAATCAAAATAACTTCCTATATAGTGGTTAATGCTGGACAATTTTCTCACAGATGAAGAGATGAAGAGATGTTCTACTGACAAATGCTAAGATTACAATTTAGAAGATCTAGTGAGGTTGCTTGGCTATTGTGGTCTTGTGCCAGACATCACATAGTCATTACAATTTATTAATTATTAAGGTTACTGCCATGTCATTGAAACATACAATCGTACAATCACTGAAATTATGTAATGTCAAACTCAGTCAAAGTGACCACTTACTAGGAATACCAGGTGTTGTAAGCTTGGATGTGCAGTTGGTGTAATAGATAATGGCTTGGAATTGGAAATCAGAGAGCCGAGTTCTAATTTCAGTCAGGTACATTATATTCACTTATGGGCAAATACCCTTGGTAATGGTATGAATCCCCCTCCTCTCCTCCCACTATGGATTAATTAGTAGGACTTGTATTTCTAAATCATTATTATCTCCAAAAAATTCTTACAATATAAAAATATTTTCTGGCATTAAGTTACCTACAAAAGGTTAATAAGCCATAAAAAACAAATCAAACAATCATTAATGATTATTACTGGATTTTCTTATGTGTAATATGATTTCAATATATAATATGACCCTGTGTTTCTGAAGCTAAAATCAGGGAATAAATCACATCCTTGAGTATGATATGACACTGTAATAAAGCCATCTCTATATAATTTTTTTTTTTTTAAACTGTGCCATATTATTCATTCATATCTCTATGTTGTAGATATATTTCACAAAAATATTCTAATGATGTTAAAGAATAGAAATGAACCAAATGTTTAGGCACTGCATGTTTCTTCTAATTTCCGTTTCAAAACTAATTTTCAAAAGTCTTTTTTTGCAATCTTTCTGTTTCAAATAAGAGTTTGTTTTTTTTTAAACTGAGTAAAAATTCCAGAAAAAATGTATTTGTGTATAATATGACCCCACTTTTTTTTTTGCCTTTAATTTTCATTTGAAATTTTCTCATTTTATACACCAAAAAAATATGGTAAATGGGAGCACTATAGACACAACACGTGAGTTTAAGTTTTATGCGACTCGGATAAACTTGCTTAATATAAGCGCCACATATGATAAAGTTCAGATTTTTGGGAGCCACAACACATGAATTTAATTTACACACATACGTTTTTGTTGCATATACATTAAGATTAAACTTAAATTTTAATCCAATGGGGTCTCAATTCATACCCAGTAAATAATTATAAAGCTTGAAATTTTTCTTATTTACTTTTTATATTAACTGTGATGAAAAAAAGAGCTCAGTCAACATAAGCTGCATATTAAAAATCAAAGAGCCACATGTGGCTTGTGAGCTGTGGCTTAGCCACCCCTGGCATAGACTAAGTTGGATAAAATATAGTATAGATGTATTACAATTTGAATGATGCTTGTTGACTTGACGGGTTTCTGTAGCCTGATTGGTTAGGTGCTGTCTGAATCAAACAATCTCCCAAGTTTAAGATTATTTCTTTAGTTCCAATTCTTGCTGCTTCCCAAGAATTGTGATAAAAAGGCAGCAAAAATAAAATGAAGTGATAAATTTGTGAAAAATGAAGCACAATATTTCTTCACAGAAATTTAGAGTTTAATCATTTAAGTCAGTTTTAATTTTTTAATTGTAAATATTTTCTTAATTATTTTTTCCAATCACAGAATTCAAATTAATTCTTATTTAGACTCTTAAATTTTAAACTTTTTTTTCATTTATATATTAAAGAGTTTTCTCCAATAACACTTTTTTTTTTCTTGTAATAAGTTTAAAAAATTTAACATGCATTGTCCTACAGGATTTCACTTTTATTTTACTTTATTCTATGTTTATTTCGTTTTATTTTTTATTTTTTTCTTTCAAAATATTGCAAATCCAAATTGGGTGCATCCTTGAGGCTGGAATGTCTGTAATGCTGGGAAAAACGGTATGTTTTTATTCTTGTGACCATAAAAAACTGAAGAATGATTCTACAGTATGGTTTAATTCAAGTATTAATTATGCTGCCTGTGTTATGTTCTGTACATTCAGTATTGAGTTTTTTAAATTTATCCATGGCTCCAGGAACCTCACATTAGGAAACTGTTGTCTCGACTTCAAGGCTGCAGATAGGAGAATAATGGGAAAAGGTTTGCTCGCTCTCGTTTTTTTTTTTTTTTTTTTGGTTAATTAAGAATAAGAAGATGGGTTTTTTTTGGGGGGGGTAGGTGTTTTTTTTTTTTTTTTGTTGTTGCTTTCTATGTTCAAAATCTGTTTGTTTCTCTCGGATATGATTTTCGACTGTTTCTCAACGCCTTGCACTCTTTGTTAAAAATTAATTGAACTTTTCCTGTAATTGTCCCATCATTTTAAAACAAGTCTTCTTATCCATTGTTTATTTGCTTTTCTCTGTAATCGCCTAGAAGTCGGGTTAAGGGGAGATAATTCTGTATCTCTTTTAGATTGTCATCTTTATTCTCGTCTGCTCCTATCAGCTTCTTCCTTTTTATTTCTTTTGATAGCAAAATACTCATTAGCCCACCTCCCAACAAAGCAAAAAATAAATAAAGGAAATAGACAATCATTGAGTTTGATGCATTTTTAAGTTTAATTCGTTTCTGATATCATTCTGAAATTATTGCTTAATTAAAAAAAAAAAAATTTATTGAGAAATAAGATATTAGAAAAAAAAACAAACCTGTTCATATAAAAAAGAAAATGGAGGCAAAGGAACAAGTTTCACAAATTTAAAATTTTAAGGGATTTTTCTTTTAGTTTTCCTTTCTTTCCATCATTTTTTATTTCTGTATTTTTGTTATTTCGTTGCTAATCATTGGTTTTAAACGATTTTACTTTCCATGGTACAATTGAAAAAAGCCTGAGTGGAACTTTTTGTTAAATTAAAAACAAAACAATCCCAATCTGATGGGTAGACTTTCTTTTTTCAAGCTATCAAATAATTTCTGCTTGAGTTAAATTAAAAAGGATCTGGTATTATTTTGGAGGTTGGCGGTTCTACCATTTAGAACAGTACTATTATTTATTTTGTCCCATGTAGGAATTTTTTAAGCACACTCAAGTTTCAAGTTTCTATTTTGCTTAGGAAAAGAAAAAAATTCATCAGTGTTCAAATTGTGTCATTTGCAAAAAGGTTTTTCACTCTTTGATAATTTTTATTGTTCTAAGAAGCGATGATTAGAATTGTAATAAAACCTAAACATATTAAAAAGTGAATTTATATATATATATATATATATATATATATATATATATATATATTTGTTCTTGAGAATTGAAGACAAAAATAATAAACACTATTTACTTATTAGTTTGTTTATTCACACTATTTATTTATTGTATTGTTTATTAGAATGGTTAGCAAAACATTGGTTAATTGCCAGTTGACTGGGACTTTATAAAATGGTAAATAATAAGGATTTCCTTCGAGTTGGTTCAAATATTTAAAAATTTAGTAAATGTTTATAAATCTATGAATGAGCTGGGATCAAATATAGATCAGATATGGAATTGGAATCTGATAAGATGATACGATAAATAACAAATAGGAAATGTTTATCAATGTAACATGTTTTGCTTTCATTAAAGCTTCATCAGAGAATGAGATATAAAGAAAAAGAAGAAAAAAATTCTCATATTTTTACTTTGATTTTGATTGGTTAATCAGATTTCATGTGCTTTCAATTTGTCAAACAAATGTTAGAATAATTTGTGGCATTCCAAATTCAAGGAGAGATTCTGCATCCATCTGTTATAGACAAGCGTATGGTTGCAAGAAAGAAATACGACAACAGCAGAAATAGATTTACGTGATTTATTTCAACAGGAACTTGTGGGTTTGGGACAGCTACCTTGTGGTATAGTTCATAAGCCGGCTTTGGATCTAGGTCGATCTCTCATAGTAGTTCACACAGGTCGACACTGGCGCTCCCCTGCTGACAGCTGCTGACAGCTGCTGACCGCTCGGCCTGACCGTGACAGGTCTCTTCCCTGGCCACCTGTTGACGATATTCAGTCACCCCACCACAAGGGCGTCATGTGGCACAAGGCCTTTTTAACGTGGGCTCTGTTGACTGCCGTTGTACTTCCGTGTGAGCCCTTTTATGGTGTTTTTTTATGGCTTAACAGGCTCGAAAAATGACGCGAGTATAATTAGGAGGGAAGCATTTTTATTGATCGAAAAATAGAAACACTTTAAATATTATTTTATTTTTAGACCGGAACTCGTGCATCGGGAGCATTTGTATATGACGATAATGGTCATTTTGTGACGGAGCATTGTCCCATTCACATCAGGCTCTCACTCTTGAGTATGTTAGTTTATTTGCCTGTAAATCAGCTGAGATATGTCTTATTTTATTTTATAACACATCCAAAGTTTCAAGAACCAATTTTAAGATTACCTGAAAAACCATAAATATTACTTTATGTAAGCATATAATAATTTTTATTTGTCTGTGAGGTATTCAGATAATAATGTATATTCATAAGTGTGTGTGGGTGTGTTTAGTAGACATGTTTGTTGCTTTTTCACATTTTGTTTTGGGAACATTTTTACATATATACCATTTATTTTAAATAAACATACATTAGATTCTTTAAGAATGAATTCAATAAACTTTGGTAAAGTAATATAATGTTTTTGATATGGATTATAGTTGGTAATATTGTTATTAGTAGGATCCCAAAGTATTTTCTTTGTAAAGAATTATGTTCTTTTTTAATCAAAGAACAATAGTAAAAAAAAAAATAGTAAAGTTATGGCCAGTTTTGTTCCTGTATATAATGAGAGAGTTTGAATGAATTTCTAAACGTAAATCTCTTTTATGTTCATAGATACAGGCTTTTAGATCCTATGATGTTTACCCAACATAAATTCTTTTACATTGTAAGCAATTTATTTGATAAGTACCAGCATCTAAATTGATCCTGGATTTATTTTTCTTCTTAATTATATCTGATTGTCTTGGACGTGTTGTTAAAGATCTTTGTATTAAGGATAACTAATTTATTTACAAGCTTAGTAGAAAGAGTGTTAGATGGTAGAATTATAAATTTTGTGCCTTTGTTAGAAGTGCTATCTACGAATAAAAAATTTCTTTTCATATTTCTTTCTTTATAAATTGGTAAATGATAAATATTGCATTGCATTAGTTTGAATACAAATTTATTGGTTTTTAGAATGTTGTAAATATAAAATTATTCTAATAAATAATCTAATAAATAGTGTTTAATATTTTTGTTGTAAATTTTCAAGAACAGAAACAAATGTAAAATGTATAAATTCACTTTCATATGTTTAGGTTTTATTCCAATTCTAATCATGTTTTTCAAAAAAAAAACATTGCTGAGGAGTGAAGGTAGTTAAAATAATAGTGGTGTCAAGGGAAAAAAATGTCCTTTTGACAGTTCATTTTTGGGGCGGGTCCAAGTTTACTGTTCTTTTTTTATCATTATTACTTTTTCCTATGTAGGAATTTTCCTTTTCTTACTTTTTTTGAAGCTAAATTTCAAACAACTTCTACTTAGATCAGAAAAGATCAATGTGTTCTTCTGGCAAAAAAGGCTTTTCCCCATTTGAAACAGTTTTTATATTATTAATACATATACAGTGGCTGATCAAAAAGTATTGGGATTGGTGCTATAAAAGAAAACACCACATTTTAATTTGTGATATAATCTCCTTTCATAGAATCTTCTGAAACCACACACATTATCCAGTATCATTCCCACTGATAGAAGCTTTCTGGAACTCCTTTTTTGGGATAGCATGCAGCTGCCTCATCACATTCTGTTGGTTTTCCTCAGTGTCTTGAAATCTTGTTCCTTTCAAGTGGGATTTGATTTTTGGAAAGAGGAAAAAAAACACAAAGCTGAGATCTGAGGAATATGGAGTTTGTCAGAAAAGGGGAATGTTGTCTTGGCCAAAAACTGCTTCACAAGCCATGGTCACTGATAGAACCTCTGTGGTGTGGTAAGACAACCACACTTTACACACTTTCCTTCTAAGCATTGCTATAAACAACAAAAGTGAGAATATTATAACTTAGAATGCATGAATAACAGAGTTCAAGGTCAATCTGTGCCAAATAGCTTCACTCTGCCTACTTTAGCTTTGTTAACATAGCAGCAGTCCCAATACATTTACATCAGACCTTGTATATAACTTATTTTGTCCCCATGTGGGATGTTTTTTTTAACGCTAACTTCCAAATAATGTCTTCTTCAACGATTACACAGTACCATCTGAATCCTGCATAGACAAAGTAGAATTATGAAACTCATTTGTTTCTTGACAGGACAGATGTGCATGAGATTTGCTTAACCAGAGAAAAACAAGCAACATAAAAATACCAGAATTTTCTTTTCTCTTCTATATTTCATATTCTGATGAAGCTTTTATAAAAGCAAAACATGTTGAATTTATAAGCATTTCTTATTTGTTCCTGTCAGTTAAATTAATCATAGATCAATATTCAAGCTGTGGTTTTGAAAAAAAAAATGTTTTTAACTTTTTAGTTGGTTGGTTGCTTTTGTTTAGCAGCATATCAACACCTCTATGGGTTATTTAATGCCAAAATCTAAATATTCTGAAATATATAATTTTTTTTTTTAGAGATAATAATGATTTAAGTGATATAGGTTTACTAATTAACCCATAGATGGGGGAGAAGAAGTGGAGCCATACCTTTTTCAAGGATATTTGTGCATAAGTGAATATAACAAATCCAATGGGTTTTGGAACTTGGCTCTCCCAAACCATTATTCACTACACTTCTCATACATCCAAGCTTATGGCACCTCATATTCCCAAGTACTCATCTAGGTACTGTCCAGGCTCTACATTGCTTAACTTTGGTGATCCTATAGGAAATGGTGTTTCAACATGATGTGGCTGTAATCTGAAATCTTCTTTCCTGTCCCATAAGCCACCAGGGTTATGGGAACACTCTGGGGAGAGGTATCACCCTTGTAGCCTGGCTACTATTTACTAAGCATTGGAAGGGACTGGTACAGTGGTCCTTCTCCATCATTTAATCTCTCATGCCTGGCACCCAGTACCATACCACAATGGGAGGAAGTGGCTTTAATATGGCACCACTGGGTGTAGGACCTCGCTACAAAGGCACCAGCCAGGGCATGGAATTCCTAGAAAAATGATTGTGGCAACATGCTCATGGTCAAGGCAATCCACCAGATATCAGAGGGAGTCAGCTGTGAAGTGGCCTGGAGAGGGATGGGTATGTCAACAGAAAAACTAACTAATTCTAATTTCCATATTGAATTTCTCCCCCCATCTAAAACCTTTTTATACTATATTATAATTTACAAACTTTTCCCTTACTTGAATATCACCCTAACTCTCTTTCCATTAATCCCTTACATCTGTTTATCTATATATTTTAAATTTATTTTTGGGTTCATTTTTTATTTCTTTAATTTTAAATTAAAATTTGTTTTTTTCATATAACCCCAAATTAGTGTCATAAGCTTAATATTTGTTTTTTTTTATGAAACTTATTCCTTTAAAACAGATACTTTCCACCTTTCCTTACCTCTGACTCATGCGTTTTGTCTGACAGAAACATTGAAATGTGTAAATTCTGTATTAGATGTTTTCGGCAAGTTGTATTTGGGTTGATTTGTTAGCTTTCACAGTTAAATTCTACTTCCTGCCTCATCTAACTTTATAGACATGAACTCATTCCACACCGAGGTTGATAAGACAGACAACCAATGTCATTGTCTAATAAATCCAAAATGACGTCATGTGGGGAATAGCCTATTTCAGCAGACAAAAATATCAGTCTTATCAACCCTGGTGTGGACTGAGTTTGTGCCAGAAATAGAAATTTAACTGTGAAAGGTAAAAAAAGACAAAAAAAAAGTTGACAAACTAATACAGAATTTATCCATTTCAATATTTCAGTCAGACAAAAGGCATGAGACAGGAGTCAGGAGAGGGTGGAAGGTATTTGTCTTAAAGGGAAAATATATATAAGTTTTTATATAATTTATCATCTGAAAAGAAAAAAATTATTAGATTGCATGAGAAATTATATAAAAAATCTAAATAAAAGCACCTTATCTGTTGTATTCAATGAAATTTGCTTGAAAGAAGGATGGCTGCCTAAATACACAAAAATATACACACACACACACACACAAACACGGTGCTATGGATAAATTGTCGCCTAAATTATGGAAAAAGAAATAAATGAAAATAACATTAACATCTCATTTTAACGAATATATTTACCAAAATTACACAAAAAATATCTTGAAATACTACAGAGTAAACTTATTCAATAAAGTCACCATTGGCTTCAACCACAGCTTCCAACTGACTTTGGAATCTCCTGCAACTCTTCTGCGCAGTCTCCTTGTTTAAGTTGGTGAATGCTGCCATAATCCTTGCCTTCAGTTCATTTTTGGTGTTACAAGGAGTTTTGTTGGTCTCACACTCAATTGCGCCCCACACATAATAATCAAGGGGGTTGCAATCTGGAGATGTAAAGGGTGATGTGGTCACAAATATTGTCTGACAGTTATGACTAGGTTCTCCTAAATTATGTGGCATGGTGTCAGACACAGGGTCTTCCAACAGCCACCCTCTTGACCCAGAGCAGCACTACTACCTCAAAGCACTTGATGTATGCCAAAATGAGAGTCTCTGTGAGACAATGAATGGAGGCATAATGTTGCCATCACTAGTGATCACTTCATAATCACCATTAGACTCATACAACTCTTTCTGAATCCTCTGCACTGTCCTCAGATTGACACTAACAACCTGAAATTCACGTATTGGAGTTTCTGGCACAAATGCCAAGCAGTACAGCATGCAGTTTCCAAATTTCTTGTGGAGTGAATAACATCATAGTGCTCTTTTTCTCACAGACAGTGCCCAACTGACCCTAATATATTGTGCAGTTGACAAAATCAAAAACAATGTGCATGTGTGAAATTAAAAATATAAATGGTGTCAATTTACTAATAGCACCTTGTATATATATATATATATATATATATATATATATATGTGTGTGTGTGTGTATGTGTGTATTTCCATCTATTTGTGTTTCTCTCTGTGTCTCAGTCTAATCATTTGTCTCTATCTTAGTCTATGTTTCTCTCTCCTTGTATTTCAATCCATTTGTATTTCTCTTTGTGTCTCAGTCTAATCCTTTGTCCCTATTTTGGTCTATGTTTGTCTCTCTCTCTGTATTTCAATCCATTTGTATTTCTTTGTATCTCAGTCTAATCATTTGTCTCTATTTTGGTCTATGTTTCTCTTTTTGCATTTCAATCCATTTGTATCTCTCTGTGTCTCAGTCTAATCCTTTGTCCCTATTTTGGTCTATGTTTGTCTCTCTCTCTGTATTTCAATCCATTTGTATTTCTTTGTATCTCAGTCTAATCATTTGTCTCTATTTTGGTCTATGTTTCTCTTTTTTGCATTTCAATCCATTTGTATCTCTCTCTGTGTCTCAGTCTAATCCTTTGTCCCTATTTTTGGTCTATGTTTGTCTCTCTCTGTATTTCAATCCATTTGTATTTCTTTGTATCTCAGTCTAATCATTTGTCTCTATTTTGGTCTATGTTTCTCTTTTTGCATTTCAATCCATTTGTATCTCTCTGTGTCTCAGTCTAATCCTTTGTCCCTATTTTGGTCTATGTTTGTCTCTCTCTCTGTATTTCAATCCATTTGTATTTCTTTGTATCTCAGTCTAATCATTTGTCTCTATTTTGGTCTATGTTTCTCTTTTTCATTTCAATCCATTTGTATCTCTCTGTGTCTCAGTCTAATCCTTTGTCCCTATTTTGGTCTATGTTTGTCTCTCTCTCTGTATTTCAATCCATTTGTATTTCTCTCTGTGTCTCAGTCTAATCATTTGTCTCTATTTTGGTCTATGTTTCTCTTTTTGCATTTCAATCCATTTGTATCTCTCTGTGTCTCAGTCTAATCCTTTGTCCCTATTTTGGTCTATGTTTTTCTCTCTCTCTGTATTTCAATCCATTTGTATTTTTTGTGTCTCAGTCTAATCATTTGTCTCTATTTTGGTCTATGTTTCTCTTTTTTGCATTTCAATCCATTTGTATCTCTCTGTGTCTCAGTCTAATCCTTTGTCGATTTTTTGGTCTATGTTTGTCTCTCTCTCTGTATTTCAATCCATTTGTATTTCTTTGTATCTCAGTCTAATCATTTGTCTCTATTTTGGTCTATGTTTCTCTTTTTGCATTTCAATCCATTTGTATCTCTCTGTGTCTCAGTCTAATCCTTTGTCCCTATTTTGGTCTATGTTTGTCTCTCTCTCTGTATTTCAATCCATTTGTATTTCTCTCTGTGTCTCAGTCTAATCATTTGTCTCTATTTTGGTCTATGTTTCTCTTTTTGCATTTCAATCCATTTGTATCTCTCTGTGTCTCAGTCTAATCCTTTGTCCCTATTTTGGTCTATGTTTGTCTCTCTCTCTGTATTTCAATCCATTTGTATTTCTCTCTGTGTCTCAGTCTAATCATTTGTCTCTATTTTTTGGTCTATGTTTCTCTTTTGCATTTCAATCCATTTGTATCTCTCTGTGTCTCAGTCTAATCCTTTGTCCCTATTTTGGTCTATGTTTGTCTCTCTCTCTGTATTTCAATCCATTTGTATTTCTCTCTGTGTCTCAGTCTAATCATTTGTCTCTATTTTGGTCTATGTTTCTCTTTTTGCATTTCAATCCATTTGTATCTCTCTGTGTCTCAGTCTAATCCTTTGTCCCTATTTTGGTCTATGTTTGTCTCTCTCTCTGTATTTCAATCCATTTGTATTTCTTTGTATCTCAGTCTAATCATTTGTCTCTATTTTGGTCTATGTTTCTCTTTTTGCATTTCAATCCATTTGTATCTCTCTGTGTCTCAGTCTAATCTTTTGTCCCTATTTTGGTCTATGTTTGTCTCTCTCTCTGTATTTCAATCCATTTGTATTTCTCTCTGTGTCTCAGTCTAATCATTTGTCTCTATTTTGGTCTATGTTTCTCTTTTTGCATTTCAATCCATTTGTATCTCTGTGTCTCAGTCTAATCCTTTGTCCCTATTTTGGTCTATGTTTGTCTCTCTCTCTGTATTTCAATCCATTTGTATTTCTTTGTATCTCAGTCTAATCATTTGTCTCTATTTTGGTCTATGTTTCTCTTTTGCATTTCAATCCATTTGTATCTCTCTGTGTCTCAGTCTAATCCTTTGTCCCTATTTTTGGTCTATGTTTTGTCTCTCTCTCTGTATTTCAATCCATTTGTATTTCTTTGTATCTCAGTCTAATCATTTGTCTCTATTTTGGTCTATGTTTCTCTTTTTGCATTTCAATCCATTTGTATCTCTCTGTGTCTCAGTCTAATCTTTTGTCCCTATTTTGGTCTATGTTTTCTCTCTCTCTGTATTTCAATCCATTTGTATTTCTTTGTATCTCAGTCTAATCATTTGTCTCTATTTTGGTCTATGTTTTTCTTTTTTTCATTTCAATCCATTTGTATCTCTCTGTGTCTCAGTCTAATCCTTTGTCCCTATTTTGGTCTATGTTTGTCTCTCTCTCTGTATTTCAATCCATTTGTATTTCTCTCTGTGTCTCAGTCTAATCATTTGTCTCTATTTTTTGGTCTATGTTTCTCTTTTTGCATTTTCAATCCATTTGTATCTCTCTGTGTCTCAGTCTAATCCTTTGTCCCTATTTTTGGTCTATGTTTGTCTCTCTCTCTGTATTTCAATCCATTTGTATTTCTCTCTGTGTCTCAGTCTAATCATTTGTCTCTATTTTGGTCTATGTTTCTCTTTTTTGCATTTCAATCCATTTGTATCTCTCTGTGTCTCAGTCTAATCCTTTGTCCCTATTTTGGTCTATGTTTGTCTCTCTCTCTGTATTTCAATCCATTTGTATTTCTCTCTGTGTCTCAGTCTAATCATTTGTCTCTATTTTGGTCTATGTTTTCTCTTTTGCATTTCAATCCATTTGTATCTCTCTGTGTCTCAGTCTAATCCTTTGTCCCTATTTTGGTCTATGTTTGTCTCTCTCTGTATTTCAATCCATTTGTATTTCTCTCTGTGTCTCAGTCTAATCATTTGTCTCTATTTTTTGGTCTATGTTTCTCTTTTGCATTTCAATCCATTTGTATCTCTCTGTGTCTCAGTCTAATCCTTTGTCCCTATTTTGGTCTATGTTTGTCTCTCTCTCTGTATTTCAATCCATTTGTATTTTTCTCTGTGTCTCAGTCTAATCATTTGTCTCTATTTTGGTCTATGTTTCTCTTTTTGCATTTCAATCCATTTGTATCTCTCTGTGTCTCAGTCTAATCCTTTTGTCCCTATTTTTGGTCTATGTTTGTCTCTCTCTCTCTCTGTATTTTCAATCCATTTGTATTTCTCTCTGTGTCTCAGTCTAATCATTTGTCTCTATTTTGGTCTATGTTTCTCTTTTTGCATTTCAATCCATTTGTATCTCTCTGTGTCTCAGTCTAATCCTTTGTCCCTATTTTGGTCTATGTTTCTCTCTCTCTGTATTTCAATCCATTTTATTTCTCTCTGTGTCTCAGTCTAATCATTTGTCTCTATTTTTGGTCTATGTTTCTCTTTTTGCATTTCAATCCATTTGTATCTCTCTGTGTCTCAGTCTAATCCTTTGTCCCTATTTTGGTCTATGTTTGTCTCTCTCTCTGTATTTCAATCCATTTGTATTTCTCTCTGTGTCTCAGTCTAATCATTTGTCTCTCTATTTTGGTCTATGTTTCTCTTTTGCATTTCAATCCATTTGTATCTCTCTGTGTCTCAGTCTAATCCTTTGTCCCTATTTTGGTCTATGTTTGTCTCTCTCTGTATTTCAATCCATTTTGTATTTTCAATCATTTAATCATTTCTCTATTTGTATCTATGTTTCTCTTTCTAATCATTTGTCTCTATTTTGGTCTATGTTTGTCTCTTTCTCTGTATTTTTCCATTTGTATTTCCATTTGTATTTCTCTCTATTTTGTCTCTCTTTTCATTTAATCCTTTGTCCTCTGTGTCGATTTCCTTTGGTCTATGTTTGTCTCTCTCTCTGTATTTCAATCCATTTGTATTTCTCTCTGTGTCTCAGTCTAATCATTTGTCTCTATTTTGGTCTATGTTTCTCTTTTTGCATTTCAATCCATTTGTATCTCTCTGTGTCTCAGTCTAATCCTTTGTCCCTATTTTGGTCTATGTTTGTCTCTCTCTCTGTCTTTTGCATTTCAATCCATTTTGTATTTCTCTTTCTTCTTTATCTCAGTCCAATCATTTGTCTCATTTATCCCTATTTTTGGTCTATGTTTCTCAATTTTTGCATTTCAATCCATTTGTATCTCTCTGTGTCTCAGTCTAATCCTTTTGTCCCTATTTTGGTCTTTTTGTTTGTCTCTCTCTCTGTATTTCAATCCATTTGTATTTCTCTCTGTGTCTCAGTCTAATCATTTGTCTCTATTTTGGTCTATGTTTCTCTTTTTGCATTTCAATCCATTTGTATCTCTCTGTGTCTCAGTCTAATCCTTTGTCCCTATTTTTGGTCTATGTTTGTCTCTCTCTCTGTATTTCAATCCATTTGTATTTCTCTCTGTGTCTCAGTCTAATCATTTGTCTCTATTTTGGTCTATTTTTCTCTTTTTGCATTTCAATCCATTTGTATCTCTCTGTGTCTCAGTCTAATCCTTTCTCCCTATTTTTGGTCTATGTTTGTCTCTCTCTGTATTTCAATTCATTTGTATTTTCTTTGTATCTCAGTCTAATCATTTGTCTCTATTTTGGTCTATGTTTCTCTTTTTGCATTTCAATCCATTTGTATCTCTCTGTGTCTCAGTCTAATCCTTTGTCCCTTTTTTTGGTCTATGTTTGTCTCTCTCTCTGTATTTCAATCCATTTGTATTTCTCTCTGTGTCTCAGTCTAATCATTTGTCTCTATTTTGGTCTATGTTTCTCTTTTTGCATTTCAATCCATTTGTATCTCTCTGTGTCTCAGTCTAATCCTTTGTCCCTATTTTGGTCTATGTTTGTCTCTCTCTCTGTATTTCAATCCATTTGTATTTCTCTCTGTGTCTCAGTCTAATCATTTGTCTCTATTTTTGGTCTATGTTTCTCTTTTTTGCATTTCAATCCATTTGTATCTCTCTGTGTCTCAGTCTAATCCTTTGTCCCTATTTTGGTCTATGTTTTGTCTCTCTCTCTGTATTTCAATCCATTTGTATTTTCTCTGTGTCTCAGTCTAATCATTTGTCTCTATTTTGGTCTATGTTTCTCTTTTTGCATTTCAATCCATTTGTATCTCTCTGTGTCTCAGTCTAATCCTTTGTCCCGATTTTGGTCTATGTTTGTCTCTCTCTCTGTATTTTCAATCCATTTGTATTTCTCTCTGTGTCTCAGTCTAATCATTTTGTCTCTATTTTGGTCTATGTTTCTCTTTTGCATTTCAATCCATTTGTATCTCTCTGTGTCTCAGTCTAATCCTTTGTCCCTATTTTGGTCTATGTTTGTCTCTCTCTCTGTATTTCAATCCATTTGTATTTCTCTTGTCTCAGTCTAATCATTTGTCTCTATTTTTTTGGTCTATGTTTCTCTTTTTTGCATTTCAATCCATTTGTATCTCTCTGTGTCTCAGTCTAATCCTTTGTCCCTATTTTGGTCTATGTTTTTCTCTCTCTCTGTATTTCAATCCATTTGTATTTCTCTCTGTGTCTCAGTCTAATCATTTGTCTCTATTTTGGTCTATGTTTCTCTTTTTTGCATTTCAATCCATTTGTATCTCTCTGTGTCTCAGTCTAATCCTTTGTCCCTATTTTGGTCTATGTTTGTCTCTCTCTCTGTATTTCAATCCATTTGTATTTCTTTGTATCTCAGTCTAATCATTTGTCTCTATTTTGGTCTATGTTTCTCTTTTTGCATTTTCAATCCATTTGTATCTCTCTGTGTCTCAGTCTAATCCTTTGTCCCGATTTTGGTCTATGTTTGTCTCTCTCTCTGTATTTTCAATCCATTTGTATTTCTCTCTGTGTCTCAGTCTAATCATTTGTCTCTATTTTGGTCTATGTTTCTCTTTTTTTTTTGCATTTCAATCCATTTGTATCTCTCTGTGTCTCAGTCTAATCCTTTGTCCCTATTTTTTGGTCTGTTTGTCTCTCTCTCTGTATTTCAATCCATTTGTATTTCTCTTTGTATCTCAGTCTAATCATTTGTCTCTATTTTGGTCTATGTTTCTCTTTTTCATTTCAATCCATTTGTATCTCTCTGTGTCTCAGTCTAATCCTTTGTCCCTATTTTGGTCTATGTTTGTCTCTCTCTCTGTATTTCAATCCATTTGTATTTCTCTTGTATCTCAGTCTAATCATTTTGTCTCTATTTTTTGGTCTATGTTTCTCTTTTTGCATTTCAATCCATTTGTATCTCTCTGTGTCTCAGTCTAATCCTTTGTCCCTATTTTTTGGTCTATGTTTGTCTCTCTCTCTGTATTTCAATCCATTTGTATTTCTCTGTGTCTCAGTCTAATCATTTGTCTCTATTTTGGTCTATGTTTCTCTTTTTGCATTTCAATCCATTTGTATCTCTCTGTGTCTCAGTCTAATCCTTTGTCCCGATTTTGGTCTATGTTTGTCTCTCTCTCTGTATTTCAATCCATTTGTATTTCTCTCTGTGTCTCAGTCTAATCATTTGTCTCTATTTTGGTCTATGTTTCTCTTTTTGCATTTCAATCCATTTGTATCTCTCTGTGTCTCAGTCTAATCCTTTGTCCCTATTTTGGTCTATGTTTGTCTCTCTCTCTGTATTTCAATCCATTTGTATTTCTCTCTGTGTCTCAGTCTAATCATTTTTCCCTATTTTGGTCTATGTTTCTCTCTCTTTGTATTTCAATCCATTCCTGCCTGGATACGTTCTCATTTGTCACATTCACTTCCAGATCTTAATTGCCACCATTCTACCTTGAGTACTTCCACCTGTATAATCGTGTTTGAACTCTGACCAAATATCTCTGCACCAGGAAACAATCTTCCCCCTTTGCATGCTCCACTCAAGAGCTGGGTGGTCGTTTTAATGTGTGGTTTAATGTAGCATTTTATTGAACCGTCTATTGGCTGTATCAAATCTATTTGCATTCATTGAATCGTTTCTCTTTCATGTCCAGTCTGGTTCCCCATTTTGGCTTCTTTGCCTAAATTCAGTGTAAATGTGTCAGGTGCCTCTCCTGTGTCTAATCTAACGAGCCAGTCATATTGATTGTGTGGTCAGGTGATTGATAGAGGCAAGGTTTTATGCAAACATTGACCTCTCATGTCTCATCTTCCTTCTTTCTTTCCTTCTCTCTGACTTTCTTCAGTTTTTACCATCCTCTCTTTCTTCATACTGCTCTATCAAGTAGAGTGTGGGGTGGGGTAACATGATTTTTTTTTTTAGATGACCTTGTATTTTTGACATGCATTTAAAAAAAATGACTAAGACATTAATTTATCGTGCTAGAAAATTGCGTCTAGAAGGCAAATTAAACCCAGCAATTTTAAAATTTTAACAGAAAATCATGCTTCATTAATTCTTTTAAGCTCTGAGTAAATTATTTTAGATTTAAATGGATAAGGTCAGACATGTAAATCAATGGTACATTTATATATATATATCTATACAGATACAGTATCTTAACACTTCTGCTGGTGTGGATGTATTATACATTTTAAATTACTTTGCTTGATGTTGATATATATGTACATTTTCAAGACAAACATCTTTACATAACGAACATTGCCTGCAGTTGATATATGTGTACATATTTAGGATATACATCTTTAAACAATTAACATTGTCTGTTGTTGACATGTATCTACATTTTCAAGACATACATCTTTAGAGAACTTGCATTGCCTGCATTTGATCTATATGTACAATTTCAAGACATATCTGTCTATATTTCTGAGATAAGATATTATGATTACTTGCATTATTTACATTATTTGGATTGTTATCCTCATCTTCATTGCCAAATTTACAATGTTTCAGCCATTGTATGGTGATTAGAATTTTGAACCGAACCCTTTATTTTATCCACTGAGGTAGATTGTTCTAGTTTCACATGCCATGCCTCTTCTGGATATCTCAGTTATTTCCCTTTAACTCAACTCTCCAAGTTTTGGTTCACCACTGCTGTGGCCTAGTATTGAACTCACAACTCTTTCGGTCTAGTCACTGGATCCAACCAACATCTTTATCCCCATGTCAGTGAATATGGCAATGAAGATGAGGATAACAGTCTGAATAATGTAAATAATAAATTCAAGACATATATCTTACAATTTCAATTGCCTGCTGTTGACATATGTGTACATTTCAAGACATGCATCTTTACTGAAGTTACATTGCCTGATGTTGAATTATATGTATATTTTCGAGATATACATCTTTACATAACTCATATTACCTGCTGTTGATATATAAAACAGCATACAGAATGGCATAATTGCATTAGTAAGAACTGCTGTTATGTGTAAAAATTGTTAGCATTCAAAATGGCAGATTTGCTAATTAAAAGACGGGTTAGCATTCACAATGGCAGAATTGCTATTATTATCAAGAATTGTTAGTATTCACAGTGAATAGCAGAATAGCTTTTAGCTAGAATTGCTATTATCTGTAGGAATTGTTGGCAGAATGGCAATTATTGGTAAGAATTTTTAGCATTGAAAATGGCAGAATTTATATTATCTGGCAGAATTGATAGCTAAAAGTAAGAATTGTTAGCATTAGTTGATAGCATTCAAAATATTAAAATTGCTATTATCTTTAAGAATTATTAGCATTACAAATTGGCAGAATTGCTATTAATATTAAGATGTGTTATCTGGCAGAAGTGCTAATTAAAATTAAAAATTGTTAGCATCACAATGGTAGAATTGCTATTATCTGTAAGAATTGTTAGCATTCAAAATGGAAGAGTTGCTATTATTTATAAGAATTGTTAGCATTAAAAATGGCATAATTGGTAAGATTTGCTATTATCTTGCAGAATTATTAGTATTGCCAGAATTGCTAATATTGTAAGAATTGTTAGTATTCAAAGTGGAAAAGTTGCTATTATTGGTAAAAAATTTTAGCATCCAAAATGGCAGAATTGCTATTATCTGTAATATTGTTAGCATTCATAATGGCAGAATTGTAATTACCAAGAATTTCTAGTGAACGGCAGAATTGTTAATATCTGTAAGATTGTTATCATTCACAATGATGGAATTGCTATTATCTGTAAGAACTGTTTGTATTCAAAATGGCAGAATTGCTATTATTGGTGAGAATTGTTATTTAAGATAGAAGAATTGCTATTGGTCAGAATTTTTCATTTTCAAAATGGCAGAATTGCTATTATCTGTAAGATTGTTAGCATTCACAATGTCAGATGGCAGTTGGTATGAATTGTTAGTATTTATAGTGAATGGCAGAATTTAGTAAGAATTGTTATTATCTGCAAGAATTGTTAGCATTTAAAATGGCAGAATTGCTATTATTGGTAAGATTTGCTATTATTTGTAGAATTCTTAGCATTCACAATAGCTGAATTGCTATTATTGGTATGAGATGTTAGCATTCAAAATGACAGAATTGCTCTTATTAGAATTGTTAGCATTAAAAATGGCAGAATAACTCTTATCGATAAGATTGTTAGCAGTCACATTGCCAGAATTATTGGTAACAATTGCCATTATCTGGCAGAATTGCTAGTATTCACAATAGCTGAATTGCTGTTATTCCTATGAATTGCTATTAGCAAGAATTTTTTGTGAATGGCAGAATTACTATTATCTGTAAAATTTTTGCATTCAAAATGGCAGAATTGCTATTATTGGTAAGAATTGCTAATATCTAGCAAAATTGTTATCATTCACAATCACAGAATTGCTATTATCTGTAAGATAGCATTTACAATGTCAGTATTGCAATTATTGTTGTGAATTGTTTGCATTCAAAATGGAAGAATTGTTATTATTTGTGAGTATTGCTAGCATTAAAAATGGTGGAATTGCTATTATTGGTAAGATTTGCTAATATTTGTAACAATTATTAGCATTCAAAATGGCAGAATTGCTATTATCTGTAAGATTGTTAGCAATCATAATGGTGGAATTTCTATTAGCAAGAATTTTTAGTGAATGGCAGAATTGCTATTATCTGTAAGAATGATTACCATTTGGAATGGCAGAATTGCTATTATTGGTAAGAATTGTTAGAATTCAAGCTGCAGAATTATTAGTAAGAATTGCTATTATCTGGAAAAATTGCTAACTAAAAGTAAGATTTGTTAGCATTCAACATGATAGAATTGCCATTATCAGTAAGAATTGTGAGTATTTCAAATTGGCAGAGTTGCTATTTAAAATAAGAATTGTTCACATTCACAATGGCAGAATTGCTATTATTTTCTAGAATGCTTAGCAATCATACAATGAACATACAAGTAACTTTCTTTTTATCATTGATAATTAATATAAACCAATAACCAGCAACTGATAGATTAGAAAAACTGCATCTTTGTCATACAGTATACTGAATACAGTGATCTAATTTGTGTTTAGTATAAAATAACCACTTGACATAGTTGTCTTTAAAAATTTGGTAATTTTTCATGAAGATTGATTAAAATGAATAAATTGTTGTAGATTTGTCATTTTATTACATTGTACATAACTAAAATAAAAAAAATGATTAGAGAAAATTGAATAATACAATATTTTTTTACTTTGAAATATTTTCTCTGCCACACTTGAACCCACTACGGGTCATCGTTTGCTCAGAACTGATTTCGGACAATTAAAATTAAAATACCTCTTTTCGTTTCACCTCTAGTGAGCATTGTTAATTTTGAACTGACATATTACTTCTTGGATAATCTTACAAGGTTTTTATCCTCTTCTCTGTATTTTTAATTGTGAATTAATCTTGTTGCATTTAATGTCGCTGATGTTTTCTTTTAGAGTTTGGTCTGTGTTTCAAAGTTTAAACCATCAGAACATTCTCTCCGTGCCATCTCTTTTGATATTGAGTGCTTTCTGACCTTGAAGTGCTCCCTGTCCATTTATATGTCAATCAAAATAAATCCCTCCAAGAGATCACAAAAGAGTGACTGGTTCTCATACTATGGGGAAATGAAATCCCCTACGGAGTTCAGATTCCTGTCCACTTTCAGCTGTCACGTGAAAAAAGTTACAACAGTTTAAAGTCTTAAATATTCCCAAATAAATTAAACTAAAATGTTTGACTGCTTTTTTTCTAATGCCATGCCATGTCAATTCAGGATGCAAGTAATCATGACTCTCCACAGCTTCCACTTTTTCAATGCTGTGTTCCTTCACGACATGGGAAATCATGACTCTCCAAAGCTTCCTTTGCTTTTTCAATGACTTGTACCTTCAGGATGTAAGCAATCATGACT